ACGAGTAAACATATACACTTTAAACCTGCAGGTTTTCCTGGCCAATTTAAATCAGCATATTGATTTGTTGAAGCTAGCATGATTCTACATCTGCCCAGTTAAAACAGTACTCACTCACCTGTCCAGTTTGAAACAGTGTATTAACATGACTGTTTGCAAACGTCCCCACATAAACAGGTGGCTTTCTGGATCCACTAATTTCATTTTTCTCCTGGGAAGGGCCAGGTGTGACAAGACTGACAACTACTCTACTATCCAATTTGTCAGAAATTTCAGCACCAAAAGCTGGTTAACCAGATGGGGAGGGAGCAAAGAGGCATTGTTTTGAAAATGAGACTAATAGAGTAGGGGCTTGGGGGGTTTAGGTAAAGAGCTGAGAGCTGCAGATGCTCAGTCTGAGGCACAGGAACCCATGTGTCTGGAGATAGGCCACACTGTGTCCCCAGGCTCTCCCACCCAAGGCTCCCCTCCCCATCTGTCCCTGACCATCTGCTCAGGGCTGAGGGGCCAGGGAAGTGGGCTTGGGCTTTGTAATGTCCCTCCCCACAAAGCTATCCAGCTGCTGGCTCCCCAACCTCCCCAATGGAAGGAGGAGGGGCCAGAGACACCAGATGGGGAAAGAGACATCCTTACAAATGACAGAGCTGATAGGGTCAGGGACTCCAGAATCCGTGCTTGTTTACTCACCATTGTCGAATTCATCAGGAATCTGCGAGGTAGAGAGAAAAATGGAAGGTTTAGGATGTCAGAGGCAGAACCTCATCACACCCAGAAAAGGAATCTCCAGGACCCCAAAAGGAATAAGCAAAGGTCCTTAGGAAAGAAAGGCTCACTCCAGACCAGCAATGAGCCTGAACAACCCAAAGGGGACCCCTCTCACCCACAGGCTAGGACTCCTGGCAAGGACTCAGTCTCTTTCCCCCTCACCTTGGCACCTTTTTCGTCCACAGAGTTGTTTCCTGCAAGGGAGACCAGGATGAATATGAGGAATTGGGGCCCAGTCTCCTAGGTCCTGAGGGAGGAGTGGGATAGGGGGCCTGGACTCCTGGATCTGAGGGAAGAGAGTTAGAGGCACAGCCTTCTGGATTCAAGCCAGGAGGGGGCTGGGAGCCAAGATTCCTGGGTCTTTGAGAGAAAGGCGGCTGGGGCTGGGTCTCTTGAGTCTGAGGGATAAAGGAACTACTGGGAAGGCTGGATTTTTGGGTGCTGAGGAAAGACAAAGTTTAGGAAGCTGATCTACGCCTATCCTTCCCCATCTTCCCCTCTTTCCTGTATCCTGGTACAGGAACCAACTAGAAAGACTAGAACCTTAAGAGGTAGAAGGGAGAAGAAAGGCTTCCCTGGTTTTCAAAGGCAGGTGTCCTATTTGGCTGCCCTATTGAGGAAAGAGCCACGGAATTAAGATGAGAGATGTTTGTAGCGGGTAAGAGTGAGAGATTCCACAGTGGACTAGGGAGGCCAAGGAATAGAACTGGGGGCATGGATATGTCCCTCACCAAAGATATAGACAACGCTCACGGTCCCACCAGCTCCAAGCAGCCCAGCAAGCCAGAGAGCAACTTTTTTGGCATAGCTGGGACCCTCCGAGCCCGGCTGCTGCTGTGGCCCCTGTGCCTGAGTGCCCCCGCGGCTCCCGATCTCGGCGACCTGCGGTTGAGAAAGGGGAGGTCAGCCAAGAGAGAAGAGCTGATCTTTCCAACATTCCAGTCCAAGAAGAATCAAGTTCAGGAGCCAAGAGGCAGACACCCACAGAGCCCTGGACGTTTGTGTCCCCGGAAGGGTAGTCAGGAAGTGGGGTTGCTCAGAGGGTCAAAACCCGACTGTCCGGCGCCAGGATAACAAGAGTTTTAAGAGCCAACAGGCCAGGTGCACAAGATCCTGCAGACAACACGAGTGGAGGGTCTGGAGCCCAGAAAAGCAGATCAGGGAGAATAAGGGATGGGAGGGCCTAAACACTGGGATGCGAAGGAACGGAGGGCACAAGGGGGGGAGGGGGGGAGGGGTGGGGGGCGGGAAGGGGCAGACAGGACCGGGAGTTATGACATCTGGCTGCTTGGGGCTAAAAGGTAGCAGAGTACAGGGTAAGGGATGGGAGCGGGGGCGGCGAGGAACAATCACTTGTCTGGGGTTGGGGAACTAGGGCACAGAAGTGATAGACTTGGAGGTCAGAATGGCTGGGTCTCTGTCAACATGGAGGCAGGTCGAATTGGAAATCCAAACGTCTACCTCACCACCACCACCACCACAGTAAAAATAACTCCCAAGGTAAGGCTGGGACTCCAGCGTCCCACTCCCGTCCTGCTCAAGTAATCACCTGAGTGGTCATTGAGATGGGAAACAGGTAACCCCCTCCTCCTCCGGCGCCCACGTGGGTGGGAGGTGGGATCTGGAGGACACACCTGGGCCCCCAGCCTCCAGGCCAAGGGAGAAAGTGCTGTTCACCCAGGAGGCTGGGAAGGGGCCCAAAACGCAAGCGACGTTTTATTCAGCACCCTGAGGTGCGGCGTCCCAGAACCTCCAAGCGGCGGCGATATGTCCGTAACTCCTGGGAGGGGACCCCACATTCAGAGCGCCACCCTCGTTCTGCTCACCTGATCTGGAGCCCGGGGGGGTGGCGTCGCCAACCTCGTGCACAGTCCCCGCGAGCCTAGCCGGAGCCCGCTCCGCAAGCGCGAGAACAGCGCTGCCGAGGCCGCCATCTTGCGCTGACGCCACGCGGCCCCGCCCACTTGCTCCCTTTACTGGGCCGGCGCTACAGTCAATGGGAACGCAGGGGGGGGGCGGACGGAAGCCCGAGAGAGACTAAAGGCTTCGAGCGGATTGCCGCAGGCACGTTTGCCCCAGCTATTCTGCTTGCTGCCCCTGGGGGCGCCAACTGGGATCCAAAGTCATCTGGACCACGCCCAGCTTGGGCCGTGCGGAGCGCCACCGCCCAGTCAAAGGAGGCAACACGGGGATTGATCACACTGATTGCTCAGAGGTAAAGCTGAGGCCATAATGAAGGGAATCAGTGGCTGCCTGATTTGTCCAAAAAAAAGTCATGAGTCAGGTCGCTTGTCTCACGTGTAAGGGCATCGGCCTTCGCCTCCCAATTGTCAAAAATGGAAACTGAGGCTTAGAAAGCGATCTGAAAAGCCAGTCCTCAAAACCTTCTGGCCAGGCGCGGTGGCTCACGCCTGTAATCCCAGCACTTTGGGAGGCGGGGGCAGCGGATCACCTGGGGTCAGGAGTTCAAGACCAGCCTGGCCAACACGGCGAAACCCCCGTCTCTACTAAAAATACAAAAAAAAAAAAAAAAAAAAAAAAAAAAAAAAAAAGTAGCCAGGAGTGATGGGGCGCGCCTGTAGTCCCACCTACTGGGGAGGCTGAGGCAGGAGAGGCTGAGGTTGCAGTGAGCCTAGATTGCAGCACTGCATTCCAGCCTGGGCAACAGAAGGAGGCTCTCTCAAAATAACAATAATAAATAAAAATTAAAATTAAGGCTGGCCCCGGGACTCACGCCTGTAATCCCAGCACTTTGGGAGGCCGAGGCGGGTGGATCACCTGAGGTCAGGAGTTCCAGACCAGCCTGGCTAACATGGTGAAACCCCATCTCTACTAAAAATACAAAAATTAACCGGGGTGTAGTGGCACACACCTGTAATCCCAGCTACTGGGGAGGCTGAAGCAGGAGAATTGTCTGAACCTGGGAGGTGGAAGTCACAGCGAGCTGAGATCGCATCACTGCACTCCAGCCAACAGTTACTATGAACCTCCCCTAAATTGACTGGAAGAAAAATCAGATCCTGTTTACGTAAACCTTAGAACCAAATAATATACCAAGGTAGAAAAATTACTGTGCTGCTGAAGTGGGTCCTATCTAGTATATACTGTTTCCTCATCTGGGTGGTGGGGACGTGAGTGTTCTTAGTATATATTCTTAAACATCTGAAATGGTTTTTTTTTTTTTTTTTTTTTTTTTTAGATCACTCTTTCGTCAGGCTTAGAGTGCAGTGATGTAATCTCAGCTCACTGTGATCTCCACCTCCCAGATTCAAGTGATTCTCCTGCCTTGGCCTCCCAAGTAGCTGGCACTACAGGCACCCGCCACCACACTGGCTAATTTTTTTGTATTTTTAGTAGAAACAGGGTTTCACCCTGTTGGTCAGTATAGTCTCAAACTCACCTCAAATAATCTGCCCCACCTTGGCCTCTCAAAGTGCTGAGATTATGGGCGTGAGCCATCTCGCCCAGCCTGAAATGTTTTGTAATGCATTTACATTTGTAAAAAGACAGGAATATCTAATGAAGAAGGGAAGCAGGTTCTGGGTACTAAGCTCCAGTCTCTTTAAGATTGCACCCACTCTTGCCCCACGTCACTGGAAAAGCTACAGCAATCCTATTGTCACTGCTGTCAAGGCTAGAGAACGGACCGCTGGGCACTGTGGCTCACATGTGTAATTGCAGCACTTTGAGAGGCCAAGGCAGGAGGATCACTTGAAGCCAGGAGTTCAAGAGCAGCCTAAGCAATACAATGAGACACATCTCTATAAAAAATATAAAAATAAAAGTTATCCAGGCTTGGTGGTGCATGCCTGCAGTCCCAGCTACTTGAGAGGCTGAGGCAAGAGGATTGCTTGAGCCCAGGAGGTTCAGGCTGCAGTGAGCAATGACTGTACCACATAACTCCAGCCTGGGCAACAGAGCGAGACCCCATCTCAAACAGAAAAGAAGGACGATCAGCTGGATGCAGTGGCTCACGCCTGTAATCCCAGCACTTTGGAAGGCTGAGGCGGGCAGATCACAAGGTCAAGAGATAGAGACCATCCTGACCAACATGGTGAAACCCTGTCTCTACCAAAAATACAAAAAAATTAGCTGGGCTTGGTGGCATGCACCTGTAATTCCAGCCACTCAGGAGGCTGAGGCAGGAGAATTGCTTGAACCCGGGAGGCAGAGTTGCAGTGAGCCAAGATTGTGCCACCACACTCAAGCCTGGTGACATAGCAAGATTCCGTCTCAGCTTTGCGCAGTGGCAGTATTCTAGCCAACGAGGTTTATCCGAGGCACGATTGTTGCTAATTGAAAACTTTTCCCAATACCTCGACATGATGACTTAAAATATAATCAGCATTGTCAGTTTTTGGCAGTCTCTACTGGGACTGAATTAAAAAAAGGAAAAAAGACTCCATCTCAAAAAAAAAAGAAAAGAAGAAAGAAAAAGGACCATCAAGCACTGTATCCTGCACCACAGGAGGAATTTAGGTTTCCTGGAAGACACTGTGATTTTCACTTAGCATAATTCATGTCTGAATAAGATAAAATGTCAGCAATCACATGACAAGCTCTGCTCTGACCTCCTTCAGATGTCTTCTCACACACATTCCCCTCACGAGCCCTCTGGGGCAGGCACTATCACTATTATCTAGATTGGAAAAACAGATTTAGATAAGGCCCAGTTATTTGCCCAACCACAAAGCAAGGAAGTGGAGTGTGCAAATGACCCTACTTAAAAAGACGACACCCCATTCCCATAGCACACACACATATATACACAGACACACACACACACACTCTCCCCCCAAGACTTTTAGACCAAACAGCTTCTTTTTATTGAAAGACAGTACAACAAAAGCAAGCTGTGGGGAGGAGGTACAAGAAGGTGGGGACCCTCCCCCAGACTCTACTCAGATTTCCATGAGCACCAGGGAGGGAGAAGATGGAAAACTAGAAAGAGAAATAAAAAGAAATCCAGAATGATCCGCCTAGCCCTGAGGCAGGATCTGGTGTCACAGCCAAGGGCCAGGGAAGGAAGGAGGATTACTCTTCATCTGCCGAAGTCCACCTGCCCTGCCTGCTTCAGGCTTCCAGGAGCTTCCCCAGGAAGCGGAGGTTGAGGATCTTGAGCTGCTCATCAAGGTCCATACGGACAATGCCATCCTCACCATCGATGCTCAGCAGGACGCCTGTGGCTTCCCGATCCTCGCCCAGGATCACTTTCACCTGGGGGTGGGGGTAGTGTGGTCAGGGTCCGTGGCAGTGCCCAACACTTCTCATTTCATCTCCTTGCCCCCTGCCCTTACCTTGTTGTTCTTGGTGGGGGTGATGGGCTCCAGGTGCTCACTGGAAATGCTGACGACCTTCTCACTGTCCTTCAGGTACACAGAGCACATGCCCCCCTGGAGGATGGGAACAGCCTGGTCAGCCTGTCCTGCTCCCAACACAGGACTGAGGCCCACACTCCAGGGGACACAGGCTCAGGGCTCATTCTGAAAACTCAAGGTGAAATGGGGCAGGAAAGGCCACGGCTGGGCCTGGTTCCAAGGCCTGGGGCCTGTGGTACATTGTCAGTGTCGGGAGACAGGGGTGACCCAATCAGCAAGAGAAGCATCAGAATGAAGCTAACAGGCAAAAAAAAGATTGCTTTTTGACTCTTCATGTCCCAAACTGGCCTCAGCATCTTCCCCGCACCTGTTCCTCTCCTGGACCTGGTCTCAGGGCCCACCCCATGGTCTGCAGGCCCCACCAGAGCACTGGACTTGATCTTGGTCACCTCCCTCACCAACATGTCCCGGGCTTTGAGGCCTGGCCATTCAGCCATTCAGCCTGTGAGGATCTCTCCTACCTGCCTCCTGCCTCTTCCCCACAGCCCTGCCCTAGTACAGCCCAAGCTGCTCCTAGGCTCCCGGCCCAGTCTCCCAACCCCATGGATCACTGATATAGTAACATGGAGAATTCGTTCTACACTACAGATCCGCTCCTACCACTCTCCTACTTAGATTCCTCCATGGCTCTCCGGTGCCCTCTGGACAGGCCAAGTCCTCCAGGCTGGCACAGACAGCTCTCTGGCCTCAGACAGGGCCCCAGACAGCTCTGGCCTCATTCACCTTCCCTTCAGCTATTTTTTTTTTTTTTTTTTTTTTTAAGTATTGCTCTGTTGCCCAGGCTGGAGTGTAGTAGTGCTATCTCGGCTCACCACAACCTCCACCTCCCAGGTTCAAGTGATTCTCCTGCCTTGAGTAGCTGGGATCACAGGCGTGTGCCACCATGCCTGGCTAAGTTTTTTTTTTTTTTTTGTATTTTTAGTAGAGACAGGTTCTCACCATTTTGACCAGGCTGGTCTCGAACTCCTGACCTCAGGTGATCTGCCCACCTCGGCCTCCCAGAGTGCTGAGATTACAGGCATGAGCTACTGCCCAGCCCCCTTCGGCTCTTTATGTTACAGCCACAACAAACACTTCAGCTCCCGGAATGTGCCCAGGTTCCCCTCACCTCCAGCCCTCTGCACATGTGGTTCTCTCCATTTGGAACATTCTCAACCCAGTCATTTTTCTTAGCTTACTCCTATTCATTCTTCAGGTCTTGGCTCAAATGTCTCCTTCCCCAGGCAGCCCTCCCCAGTTCCCCACTAAACTGTGTAAGGTGCCTCCTCTGGGTTCGAACAGCTTCCCTTGCCCTCTGGGCTTCCGCCATCCCAGCTCTGCCCGCTCTGGGCTGTCACCGTCTGGGACACATCTGTCTCCCCTAGTGGAATGTGATGTCTTTGAGGACAGGGCCTGGAGCTGCACTGGTCTCTGGTGTTTAATTTGATTAATATTTATTAGAGAACCAATAGGGTGCCAGTCCTTCACCTAGGAAGTGGGGTTTCTGAGGAAACAAATACAGGCTTTGTCATCAAAGAACTGCACCAAGGCATGCTTTAACCTTTCAGGCAACAGGGAGGTTAACATGAAGAATTACACGGGCCTGCCAGAGACAGACCCAAGATAGCCCAGGTACTTCCCTCAAGGGAGTCTGTCTCTAGACAAACGATGGGACCAGGCACGGTGGCTCACACCTGAAATCCCAGCACTTTGGAAGGCTGAGACAGATGGATCACAAGGTCAGGAGTTCGAGACCAGCCCGACCAATATGGTGAAACCCATTCTCTACTAAAATACAAAAAGAAAATCAGCCGGGCATGATGGCATGCACCTGTAGTCCCATCTACTCGGGAGGCTCAGGCAGGAGAACTGCTTGAACCCAGGGGGCGGAAGCTGCAATGAGCGGAGGTCGCACCACTGCACTCCAGCCTGGGTGACAGAGGGAGACTCTGTCTCAAAAAAAAAAAAAGAAAGAAACCAGAAAGACAGACAGACATAGGAAAGTATATGTGCAAAGGTCCTGAGGCTGGAGGAAAATCGGTGAATTTGTGGAAGGGAGCCCAGGGGTGTGGCTGCCTGGTGCTATGCCCAAGCCTCACACAGAAGCAGCACTCAGTACATTTTACTGAGTTGCTCTCTCAAAGGAGTATGTCAAAAAGTAACCACACTTCTGTGTGCTACATACTGTTCCAGGCAAATGGGCCCCAACTGTGAGCAAAAAAGGAAGGACTGAGCAGAGCCGGCTAAAAATCCCTACCCTCCAACCTGCATAATACGGGGAAGCCCCATCTCTACAAAAATACAGAAAATTAGCTGGGTGTGGTGGCATGCGCCTATAGTGCCTGCTACTTGGGAGGCCAAAGTAGAAGGATCACTTGAGCCTGGGAGATGGAGGCTGCAGTGAGCTGTGATCACACCACTGCACTACAGCCTGGGTAATAAAGTGAGACTCTGTCTCAGAACAAAACAAACAAAACGAGTCCCTGCCCTTGTGGAGTTATTAAATACATTCTGATCTTTTCTACATCTGTTTTTTCAGCTATAAATGGAGACTTGCTCAAGTCTGTAATGCCAGCACTTTGGAAGGCCGATGTGGTGGATCACCTGAGGTAAGGAGTTTGAGACCAGCCTGACCAACATGGTGAAATCCTGTCTCTACTAAAAATACAAAACTCAGCCAGGCATGGTGGCAGGCACCTGTAATCCTAGCTACCC